ACTAATTAATATACGCTCTATTATAATAAATCTTTATTAAGTGACAACCGTCTAATTTCAAACGTGGCATATATACATACACACACACAAACACACACACACACACACACACACACCACAACACACACACACACACACACACACACACACACACACATATATATATATAATATGTAATATATATATTTGTGTAGTATCGACTGTTAACATCTGACATTTATTTGTCGAATGAAAAGGATGTAATTAATTTCCTTGATCTTAAAAATTTCTTCTTTTCTTAAGAATATTTTAGATTTTCCAGGTGTATATTCTTCCAAGAAATGTTAGATATATGAAATTGTCATATTATAAAATTATTGAATTATCAATGCCATACAAGTTTGACATATTTTGATATATTAGTTACGCCAAATTTATTGATGTATATATATATATATAATATATATATATAATATATATATATATATATATATATATATATAAATATATATATATAATATATATATATATAAATATATAATATATACATATATTATAATATATGTTATATATATATGTATATATATATATATGTACATATATTATATTATATATATATTATATATATATATATATATATATATATATATATATATATAATATATATATATATATATATATATATATATATATTAATATCAGATGAAAAAGAGAAATGGCCATTAAAGGAAATGCTATACATAGGGTACTGATAACATGATATAAAACTGTTATACAAAAATAACGATACCGATACCAATAACGGTATTTGGTGAAAGGCGGTTGTTAGAGATGGTATTAAAAGTGACATATTTTTTGTTTTAATTTATCAGAATTTCTTGGCCTCATCTAATTTACAGAATTTCTTTATTTTCACACTATCATAATGTATCTATAGATTTCATAACGACAATATTAATTTGAAATAGGAAATTCTTGTTGAACAAACCGATTGAATTAAAGATATATGTCAGTTATATATTTTTTATTGCATTCTTTCTCTTTATCTGTGTTATTATTCATTTTCATTTTATCTTTATTTCAATCCTATTCATTCGATGTGAATATTCCGAAAAATGATCTTTAAGGAGTTCATGTTATTTCTGCATAAAGTTATAACTAAAAGTATTAATGTCGAAAGAAGTGACTCTTGATAGCTGCAAATATGAGAGATCAACGATGATTCAATTTTCTGCAGTGATCTTATTGGTACTTGCAAGAACAGAAATACGTTTTGAAATGAATATTTAAAATTGAGTATAAAAATATCATATTTTTTGTGGAATAAAATAATGTGTTAAAAATTGCAACTGAAATTTTAGGATTTTTACTTATGGGAAAAAATGGGGGGAATGGAAGGACCGAAAGAATATAATATTGATTTTAGACAAATGTCTAAAATTCTTTGATTCTGAATAATGGAGCAGTTGAAAAATATCTGGAGTGAAATAGCAACTGAAACCGTGTTTTTCAGTTAAGCGAATGGCTGAGATTCATGATTTCGACTTAATGAATTCAAAATTCGAACTCTAGAACAACTAACAGCCTTTTGTTGTTCCAAATGAGACGAGTTGGGCTGAGGAACAACCGGCGTCTGATGTCTGGTCCAAGTGCAAGTATATCAAGGTCACCTTTGGCTTTTTTAGTTTTCTATTTTGATTTCTTTTTTTCTCCTTTTTTATCAGGGGCGAAGGATAGTTGCGGGGGAGTACAAAATCTATGTTCGTATTCTAATATACATTTTTGAGGTGTAGCTGCTTTGTGAGGGTTATTTTTATGTTTTGATGTGTATATATGTGAGTTTGGTTATGCACACAGACACACATACACACACACACTCGCATACACAGACACACCCACTCACTCTCACTCTCTCTCACTAGTTCTGTTTCTGAACAGCTTATTTAGAGATCCTTTTTTACTCATCAGAAATACAATCTATATCTACCCTCGCATAATATTCAAAGAATCTAGTATAACATCTCAGCTTGGTGTATTCATGCCACGCAAGGGTAGAAGGACACTGTCTCGTCTTCATTAAAAAAAATGGACTTTAAGATTCTCTTTTTTTTCCTCGTGGGCGCATCCCGTCGGATTGGTAGGACTTTGGACGCCCCTCGAGCACCAGCTTAGCGAATTGGAGTAGGTGGCGCCCCTGCGACCTTGAGGCTCCGGGCGTGGGATTGGCATATATATTGCAGGGGCGTCAGGGCAGAGGCAGGCAGGCAGCAGTCGAGGACGAAACTAGCAATATGAGACTCTTGGTAAGTGAGCAAGTTCTTTTCCTGGGAGACTTTGCATGAGATCTTTGTGTTGGGTTTTGAGTCGGCAAATGTGACTTTGCAGACGTCCTCCTTCTTGTCGATGTTTGATTCATTGGCTGGTGTTCGGCACAGAAGGTCAGATGAGTAACAGCGGACGGTTTGTTGCAGGTACTTTTGGCTTTTGTGTTGGGGTGCAACGCGAACCTGGTGGTGCTGCC